GTGTGTGTGTCTGTCTGTTAGTGTGTGTGTGTGTGTCTGTTAGTGTGTGTGTGAGTGTGTCTGTTAGTGAGTGTGTCTGTTAGTGTGTGTGTAAGTGTGTCTGTCAGTGATTGTGTCTGTTAGTGTGTGTCTGTTAGTGTGTGTCTGTTAGTGAGTGAGTGTGTGTGTCTGCTAGTGAGTGTGTCTGTCTGTTAGTGAGTGTGTGTGTGTCTGACTGTTAGTGTGTGTGTGTCTGACTGTTAGTGTGAGTGTGTTTGCCTATGAGTGTGTGTGTCAGTGAGTGTTTGTGTCTGCTAGTGAGTGAGTGTGTTTGTGTGTCTGACTGTGTGTGTATGTTTGCCTGTGAGTGTGTGTGTCAGTGAGTGTGTGTGTGTCTGCTAGTGTGTGTCTGCTAGTGAGTGAGTGTCTGTGTGTGTCAGTGAGTTTGTGTTTCTGTTAGCTAGTGTATGCGTATCTGTCAGTGAGTGTGTGTGTGTGTATTTAGAAGGCGGGGCGGGGGAAGGGATGGGTGGCGGTCGCGCGCGTGGGGGGTTGGGGGAGGGGTTTGGGGGGCGCCTGAGTTTTGTCCTGCCTAGGGCAGCACAAAACCAGGATACACCACTGCCTATCCCTCTAACGTGCAGACTGCCCCCCTTCACTTACCGCTCCCTAATCCTCTCACGTGTGGCGTGCCCCATTCCTTTACCTCTGCCTACCGCTCTCACGTGTGGCATCTCCCCCTTCATTTATCTCTCCCACTACTCTCACGTGCAGTCTGTCCCCCTTAATTTACCTCTCCCTACCCCTCTCACATGTGGCCATCCCCCCCTTCATTTACCTCTCCCTATCCCTCTAACATGCACACTGCCCCCCTTCACTTACCTCTCCCTACCCCTCTCATGTGCGGCGTCCCCCCCCTTCATTTACCTCTCCCTATCCCTCTCACGTTCAACCTGCCCCCTTCATTTACCCCTCCCTACCCCTCTCACGTGCAGTCTGCCCCCCTTCACTTATGTCTCCCTACCCCTCTCATGTGCGGTGTGTCCCCCTTCATTTACCTCTCCCTATCCCTCTAACGTGCAGTCTGCCCCCCTTCACTTACCTCTCCCTACTCCTCTTACGTGTGGCGTACCCCATTCCTTTACCTCTACCTACCCCTCTCATATGCAGTCTGCCCCCCTTCATTTACCTCTCCCTACCCCTCTCACATGTGGCCATCCCCCCCTTCATTTACCTCTGCCAACCCCTCTCATGTGTGGTGTCCCCCCTCCTTTACCTCTCCCTACCACTCTCACGTGCAGTCTGCCCCTTATCATTTACCTCTCCCTACTCATCTCTCGTGTGGCATCTCCCTCTTCATTTACCTCTCCCTACCGCTCTCATGTGCAGTCTGCCCCCCATCATTTACCTCTCCCTACCCCTCTCACGTGTGGCATCTCCCCCTTCATTTACCTCTCCCTACCCCTCTCATGTGCTGCGTCCCCCCTTTCATTTAGCTCTCCCTACCCCTCTCATGTGCAGTCTGCCTGCCTTAATTTACCTCTCCCTACCCCTCTCATGTGCTGCGTCCCCGCTTTCGTTTAGCTCACCCAACCCCTCTCACATGCAGTCTGCCCCCTTCCTTTACCTCTTCCTACCCCTCTCATGTGCGGCGTCCCCCCCTTCATTTACCTCTCCCTATCCCTCTAACGTGCAGACTGCCCCCCTGCACTTACCTCTCCCTACTCCTCTCACGTGTGGGGTGCCCCTTCCTTTACCTCTTCCTACCCCTCTCACGTGCAGTCTCCCCCCCTTCATTTACCTCTCCCTACCCCTCTCACATGTGGCCATCCCCCCTTCATTTACCTCTGCCAACCCCTCTCATGTGTGGCGTCCCCCCTCCTTTACCTCTCCCTACCCCTCTTACGTGCGGTGTCCCCCCTTCATTTTGCTCTCCCTACTCCTCTCATGTGCAGTCTGCTCCCCTTCATTTACCTCTCCCTATCCCTATCATCTGCGGCGTCCCCCCTTCACCTACCTCTCCCTATCCCTCTCATCTGCTGCGTCCCCCCTTCACCCCTCTCCCTACCCCTCTCATCTGCTGCGTCCCCCCTTCACCTACCTCTCCCTACCCCTCTCATCTGTGTTGTCCCCCCTTCACCTACCTCTCCCTATCCCTCTCATCTGCTGCGTCCCCCCTTCACCTACCTCTCTCACCTGCAGTCTGCCCCCCTTCATTTACCTCTTCCTATCCCTTTTACGTGCAGTCTGTTATCTGTCTCACATGCAATCTCCCCAACCTTCACCTATCTCTCTCTAACCCTCTTACATGTTGTCACCCCCTTTCATGCAATTTACTGTACACTCATGCATTTTTTTTTTCTCACCTTTTCTCTTTATTTATATATGTGTTCTTTCTTATACTTTTACACTGTACACACTGTCTGAATTCTGTAATTGCCTGCTCACTGCTGGCCCTCATTGCCCTCTATTGCCTAGCTGATAATAACATGATAATCCCAGCCTGCTCTCACATGGCCTGATACCGGTGGCTCCTCTCATGGCTGCAGTGTGTCTGATACAATATATAAACATAGGGCATTGTGTGAGTTGTTGTGGGCATGGGTAGTCTATTACCATCACCCATAATAACAATGTTAACAGCTCTGGGAAAGCCTGCCTTGTGGCGAGTTAATACAATTATTTGTATACAAAGGAACCAACGGGGACACAGCAAAGATTTATAAAGAAAGAAAAACTACATTTCCCGGCGCCCCCTGCGGCTCTCTAACGCCTGCGCGGCGCTGTCAGTGGGCGGGGCTTGGTGTCAGTGTCGGGCTCCTGCTGCCCTTAGCACAGCGCGCTCCGCAGGCTCCGGAACAACATGGCCCTAAAACGGATTCAGAAGGTGAGAGAACCCGCTCGGCCAGCCGGGGGCTAAATGGCGGCTGGAGGGAGCCCCGGGCCCAGCCCTGCCCCCGCCATACACCAGGCCTGCCGTAAAACGGCCTCTAACGATAGCAGGGGATCAGACGGCGGCCCGCGGGCCTTGTCACGGAAAGGAGGGGGTATGACTAACAACCGTAATGCGAACAGAGCTGGCGGCGGAACCAAGGACACCGCGGTACCGTTGCCACATAGTGAGCCGTTTATGGAAGCGCCCGCGCATGCGCACAACCCGGAGAACAGCCTCTCCCACACAGTGCCGCGCGGTGCGCATGCGCCGCTCTGTCTCAGTGGCGGAAGTGGTGCTTTGCGCATGCGCTTTGAGTCGAATTGCTTCTGGGCTTCGTTGCGCATTAGCTGTGAGTGACAGCTGCACACACCTCCTCCTCTGTCTCCAGTATCACTGCCAGATAGTGATCCCAGACCAGCTGCTGGGGACAGACCTTACATGGGAAGAGGGGACGGGGGGGGAGGGAGAGAGGACACATATATCACAACCATGGGGCAAACAGTAATTTCATCATGTCTTAACAGTTAATTGGACATGTGTTATGGAGAGTATGTTATTAAACCAGTAGGGATATCAATGATTGTATACCTCCAGATGTGATGGGTGTTTAATATGAATTGTAGGCCAAGTTGTTTTTATATAAACAAATGTGGTGTTTTGTGGCTTTCAGAGGCTCGAGAAGCATGGTTGGACCACTGGTAGTAACGTGATTTCCAGGGATGCCGATTACAAAATGTATTACGGATCAGAAACTGTATAGCAGTTCTGTCTGTAATGGATCACAAACCTTATATGTGTAAATAAATTATTTGCTGAAACCTAAAGTCTTGTATTTAAAACTACAAAAATATGGAAGGCCATCATGATGCTGTGTTTTTAAAAGTGGTTTCCAACATTGTAAAAATGGAGTGAATATTAGTGAAAGTGTCAGCAGGTGTGCATGGAGATTTACTCAGTTTTATAACTGTGCAGCACTTATCAGATTATTCCCATTAAATGGACACTCCAGATCCCTAAATAACTTCTGCTTAGTAAAGTGCTAATGTGCGAAAAGCATCTTTTTTTTTGTTTTGTTTTTCTTTTCTAAACGTACTGATTTCAAATTGAATTTGACACTCTTATAAATTTAATTGTGAAACCGACTTGTTGCCATTGAGATAAATGCTCCTGTTACTTCCTGGTTGCTTAGCTCAGTGGAGTTAAAGGGACTCTCCAGTGCCAGGAAAACAAATCCATTTTCCTGGCACTGACCCTGCAGTGCTCCCATCCCATGTTGCTGAAGGGGTTAAAACACCTTCAGTGACTTACCTGAATCCAGTGCCGATGTCTCTCAGGTGGTGCTGGGCCAGGCTCTGCCCAAGCTCGGGGAAGATCTAACGCGCATCCTATAAGGATTTTGGCGACGCTGGAGGTCCTCATGCATAGCATGAGCACGTGCAGCGTCATTTAAAACACTTTTCATGTTTTAAGAACATGGAAGTCCCTCTAGTGGCTGTCTGAGGAGGACTTAACCCTGCAAGGTAATTATTGCAGTTTATAAAAACTGCAATAATTACACTTGCAGGATTAAGGGTGATGGGAGTTGGCACCCAGACCTCTCCAATGGGCAGAAGTGGTCTGGTAGCCTGAAGTGTCCCTTTAAACTCAAGATTGTGAATTAATGTTTTCTTATAACCACAGTCAACAGGGTATCCACTGAGATAAATAATGCACAGGAAAGGCCTTCATAATACCCAATAATCTATTGTGGGGGAAAAAAAAAAAAATACATGCGCAAACCACACACACATAAGTCAGGCAAATGTGTCATAATAATACCTTGCATAATACAATGCCCACATAAGCACTCAAGGTTGGGGAGGACAAAAAAATAAACTAAATATTTTGTGTCTACTATGAGATTCTTTCTCAAGACTAGAACACCCCGGTGTAACAACCAACTTTAAAAAGATTGCACAAGGCAAAACATTCCTCATCCAGACTAACAGCTCACTTTTACAGCCTGCAGAAAAGGGAAAAAACATTGGTTTTTGAAAGCTAAATGCAAGAGGATGCAAGCTCCTGCCTTGCAGATACTTCTCATTGGGGAGTCTGTGATTGGGCAGCCACAGTCTGAACGGAGTTGGAGGGGAAGGACTTGCAAAGATCTAGAGACAAGAGAACTGCAGATTCTTCAAGTTATTTTTGGATAATCTCCTAATTGAAAAAAATGCATGCATATTTTCATTGGGGAATATCTATTAAAAAGTGATTTTTACTTTGTTGTTTGTGGGCAGTTAGTCTCTCTTTAAAATACATTGTTTTGATTCATTGCTTTCCTATGGTGAAGACCTAATGGTGTGCGGTGCTCGCAACACGTGTGCATTATGTCCCCCCTCACAATGACATGAGAGGAGGTGGAGCCAGCGCCTAGGGACTTTGCTGGAATCGGTTAAGTGTTTTTAACCCTTTCATTGCATGGGGGAAGATATAAGAGTATAGCTTTGTTCCTTTAAGCTTATACACTGTATAAAGTGAGATGGTATAAAAGTAGGCAGGCAAGAAAGACAATGCCCTACAACAGCATGAGAGGACTATGGGCTCAATTTAATATTGTTCAATAAGCCTTTCACAAGATGTAATATTTTTGATAAATGATTAATATATGTTTTTTTCAAAATATTGCAAATATAAAATATTTTTCATCAATAATTGTGGAAGTTAATGCAAGCATATGAAATAATTTGCAACGCTTATCAAGCAATATTAAATTGAGGCCTATGTCCATTAAATATGTCAAGTTACTACAGAATTACGAGTTCTAGTGGAAAGAGTTGAATTATATTTTTTGAGGACGTATGTAATACAGGAGTGAGTTCTATGAAATGGGCAGTTAATTACAACTTTCATAATGTTAGGTTGCTTTAAAAAAAGGTTAAGTTGGTTTAGACTCTTGTTTTCCTTCTTTTTTCTTGTCCTTTTTTTTTTTTTCTCAACGAAAATGCTACATACCGAAGAGTGTATCCCTTCTGAAATCAAACTTGATATGACATCTCTTCCTTCCTTCTGATGATCATACTTCTCCTTTCTGTTATAACGTGTGCAAACTAAAAGTATTTCATGCCATAAATGAAATATACATGTCTAGCTTTTAGATGCCTTTCAAGCAACAGCAACTTTTATAAAAAGATGCAATTACTTTCCCCTCCACACTAATCACTCTTTTGTAAATTAATTTTATTTTTTAATAAATTGAGTAAACTGTTTACATTTTTGTTTCTATAACTAAATATTCTCCCTTCACTCTATTTAGGAGCTGATGGATTTACAAAGGGATCCCCCCGCACAATGCTCAGCAGGACCTGTGGGAGAGGACTGTACGTAATTAATACTTATTAAAATGTTCTAAAATATACAAAGGCAATCAAAAAATGGCCTGTCTCTGTAATCATTACACTTATAGATAGGAAGTGTGTTCTCAGCCAGAAGTGAGAGCTTATTGGCTGAGAGTGTTAGCTAATTGCTGTCAGTCAATGAGCTAAACCCTGCACCACCAGGATTAGCTGAGAGCTTCCACCTAGGAGGAGGCAAAGAATGGCGCCAGCAAAAAAAAAGTAAGAAGTTAAACCATTCCTGAACGGTTTGACTACTTACATTGAGCATACTCCTGGCAACACAACCACTGCAATGCATTGGTTATGGTGCTTGTAGTGTTCCTTTAAATTCCACTGTCATTTACTATAGTTCTATATTCTAGCCTCTAGCACACTAGCTCTAGATGGAAAACCTTTACTTGTATTGGTGCATATTTCTTTTTGGAGTTTTTAAACCTTTAATTTGTGCTGTTAATGTATGTTGGCACCATGAGGCTGTAACTGATTGTATTCTCTCTTTATTGTGTAAAATTACAGGAATGATTACTATTTACATAAGATTTTTATGCTGTATATCTTTAAGTAGATATATCTTTGCTGCTAACAATGCACTTTAAATTTAGGACAGTGCTTTGTCAAGTAAATATCCGCCAAGTTGTGTCTCTCTGTATTTCAGTGTTTCACTGGCAGGCGACTATCATGGGTCCTGTAAGTATCTTCATCTGCCCTTTCTGCATCTTTGTTCTTTGAGTCTATTCCATTTGCTAATCGCATGTTTTCTAAAGTGTCATTTATATTCATACACATTGTCTGTGCAAGGTAAAGGAACAATCTAGGCACCATAACTACTCTACCTGAAGTGGTTATAATGCCTGGAATCCCCAGGCACCGGCCCAAAGATCATTGTTAAACCAATTTCAAACCGTTTCACATTGAATGAGGCCTCTGGCTGCCTGAAGCCTGACCCCTCCGTGCTGCTCAGACTAATACTGCATTAGCCAGAGCAGCAATGGGTGTCAGTGATAAGCTTAGGCTGTCAGTTGAACTCTATAACTCCCAGAGAAAGCCTTTAAGCCCCCACCCCATAAGACCCAAATATTTGTGGGTCTCTAAAAAATACAAATGGCAAAACAGCAAAATTAAACCTATGCCTGATGGAAATGTACTGCATTTAATTTTTAATTTGGCTCTTGATAAGTAACTGAAATTCTACAGTTCTTAAAACAATGCAGTTTATTTTTCAGACCACTGTAGCTTTTGCTTCAGAATAATCTTTAAAGTAGGAAACAATGGCCAAATTTGCATACACAAATTTGTAATTTGGCTGGAATTTCTGAACTAGGCAAGTCCAATGTCAGAACCTTGCTCGTGCTTTGTAAAGTTATTCTATGTAAGGAGCAGGGCTGCTAGGTTTATTTTTGCAAAAAGTGAATGTTGTTTGCAGGTTTTTGCTGAATATAATATCTGTTACATTGTGAACTAACAACAATTTAGTGTATTTTGTAGATTTTGAAATCCTCTATATATTATTTATATAACGCATTGCAATTCTTTCTGTGTACTCCTAATGTAAAAAGTGAAGTCTAAGTGTGCTCTATTTTCTCGCTGTATTCCTAATTCATAAAGTGAAAGTCTAAATGTGTTCTAACTATTTTCTCACAATTACAGAATGACAGCCCATTCCAAGGTGGTGTTTTCTTCCTCACAATTCACTTTCCTACAGATTACCCTTTCAAACCCCCCAAGGTAAACAGAATGTGGAATATGGGACTTATCAAGCAATGTAATAGACTTTTTGAACGTGATAGATTACGTTGGTAATTTAAATGGTTATTATAAGCAACTGACTAACCCTGACTTTGAGTTTGATTCTGTTTTCACAGGTAGCATTCACTACAAAAATCTATCACCCTAACATCAACAGTAACGGTAGCATCTGCCTTGATATCCTTCGGAGCCAATGGTCACCAGCACTGACCGTGTCCAAAGGTCAGTGGACATACTGATTTCTCTCTCTTTATGCTGATTTCCTCTGTTACTCTTTTTAGAACAGTGCTGTTTTCTTACATACACTACCCACTTACTGCAGGAGGTACGGTCTGGTTGACCCTGATTTGCATTGGACAGTAGAACGTTGGTGCGTCACTATGTCATTAAAATGCTATGGATGCAAAGGTTGATTTTCCATTTTATTCAACCACCTTTACCAAGGTAACGATAGTGGCCTAAAAAAGCTAAATATTCTAACTCATTCTAGAGAACCAAGATGTGAAGCAGGGAGTCAGTGAGCTTTCATTCTTTCTAGGTTGTCATTAAAGGGACACTACAGTCACCAGAACAACTAAAACTGATTGTATTTGTTCTGGTGAGTAGAATCATTCCCCTTTTGGCTTTTTGCAATAAACACTGTATTTTCAGAGAAAATGCAGTGTTTACATTAGTATAGTTATAACTACACTGGCTATTCCTTATATGGCTACTAGAGGTGCTTCCTGGGGCAGTGCTGCACATTGTGCAGCACTGTTATTCCGTGTCTGCTCAATCTGCATGGAGACACTGAACTTTTCTCAGAGATGCATTGATTCAGTGCATCTCTATGAGGAGGTGCTGATTGGCCAGGGATGTGTTTGGTTTGCGCTGGCTGTGCCCCTGATCTATCTCCTTGACAGTCTCAGCCAATCCAAAGGAAAGCATTATGATTGGTTCAGAGAATCACTTCTGATGATGTCAGCCAAACAGGCAGAGGCAGCATCTGCAGACTTGTATTCAAGTAAGATTTTACAATATTTAGAGATGCCGGGGAGCTAGATAGTTTTAACACTATAGAGTCATAAATACATGTTTGTGTTCGTGACCCTATAGCGTTCCTTTTAAACACTGTAGTGGGCTCTGAGATGGTCAGTGAGTGTTTAGATGATCCACCTGAAGAGTTAATATTTAACTCAGAGATTGTTCATTAGTGCAGGAACAGATTTAAACTGGCACCTGAGAAACCTGATGTTATCTGGATGCCCAGGTATATACTGACAGTCCTTGCTGAGGTAGAGTGGGATCTGTTCCTAAGGACAACCTGCTTCGAATAGATAGAGGTGTAGGATTGCATTTTCACATGAAAATTGCCAAATAAGCAACCTATAAGTTGCTTTTCATGGCGTGTTTAAAGGGACTCTATATGCATCTAGACCACTTAATGTCAATTAAGTGGTCTGTGTTCAATGTCTATATATGTTAACCCTGCAGCTGAAAACGTGTATTGCAGGAATGGCAGCGTTTTCATTGCAGGTTTAACACTACTCTAGTGGCTTTCAGGAATACAGTTATAGCTCAAATGTCTCTCATTAAGAGTTTGATTGGTGCAGTGTGGCATGTTGCTGCACATGTGCACTAGCCTCCCAATGCTTCCCTCTTTGGCGTAGATCATTGAGACTGGTTATCTCAGTCAAAAAGTCAGAATGCCAGCAGGGAGACCAGTGCTATGAAATGTAAGGTAATCTTTAAATATTTCAAAACCCTCCAAGGGGGGGGTGAACACTGACTTAGATATATGTCTACTATATTATTAGCAATACATGTATGTATTACTAATGCTATAGTGTTCCTTTAGCTATCTATGATGGAACGAATTCTGACTCATTATTGCAAAACTAACTTCTAAATTTCTTCTTATTCCGATTTCTGTGTATTAGTATTGATGGTTTTATCATTTGTTCTCCAAACTGTGGTTGCTTTAAAACACACAACATCCTTGGCACTTTTTAAGATTGAAAAACTGGTTTTCTTTCAGTTTAATTAATATTCACATTGACTGTGTTGGAATGTTTGGAAAATTGCAACAAAATTAAAGAGATCACAAGACAAAAAAGGAATCCACTTTAAATGAGATCAGATCGTATTACATGTGGATGATGGCTCCTGTAAAAAAGAACTACTGACTAAGTATTGTAAGAGTTGTTACTCACATCATCTACATCATGGGTCATCAACCTGGTCCCTACCCCCCACTAGTGGGCGTTTCAGGATTCCAGGTGGGTGGTAGGGATTTCCTCATTTTGAGAGATTGGGCGGGCAGGTGCGATCCTGCGGTACCCCTGCAACCGGGTACCTGCATGCAAGGAGTTCATCGGGTGGCCCATGCTGTCAGGGCCACCCGATGGTTATGGATTGTAAGAGGGCCCGGTCAGCGCGACCGGGCTAACTGTGATTACATCACACAACGCTGGGAGGAAGTGACTACACGTCACTCCTCCCAGCTAACACACAGACCGCACGGGAGGAAGCAGAGGGAGTCAGAGTGGGAACTCTGACTCCCATCCACCTGAGCCACCACTGGACCTCAGGGAATGTCACCCTCCTGCACCTAAAAGGTAGGAAACAGGAGGGTGACTAAAACATTGTGTGTGTTTGTTTGTGTGTATGTGTCTTTGTATGTAAGTCTTGTGTGTGCGTATTTGTCTTGTCTTTGTATGTATGTGTGTGTGTCTTATGTGTGTGTCTATGTATGTATGTATGTATGTATGTATGTGTGCCTGTCTGTTATAGTGGGCTATAGTAAGTGATAGTAAGTGGGCTACCTAGCTCAGCCTTCCTACTGGGCATTGCTATAAGGAAGGTTAAAAAATAGAAAAAAGTTAAAAAAACAAAAAGTGGGGAGGGGAATTGAGGAGGGGAGCAGACGCACAGATGAGAAATCATATTATGAGCAAACAGAGAAGTCGTCTGAATATCACCAAAAGAGGAGACCTTCGTTTGTTCCTTACGTAAATTGAACCAGATATCAAATATTTAGACTCGCAGCATCAGCCTCAAGGATCCCATTAATCACTAGTAAAGGTAATTTCAATTTACCTTGTTTTCTCATTAAACTTTATAAAGTTAAAAACATTATAAACATGCATAAAGTGGAAATAAAAAGATAAATGTACGTACATTTATTTATTTTTTTAAAACACCCCCCCTTTCTAAAATATTCTGCACTTGCGCGAAAACTGGTGGGCGATAAGGACATTTTTCCATCAAGAAAGATGCATTAGTGGGCGGTAGGTAGAAAAAGGTTGACTACCACTGATCTACAGTGCCATGGGTTAGCTATCACTGTGCTAGACTGTAACACCTTCAATTTGATTAGAATATGATTTGACAGGCAATCATGGTCACTCCAGCTGCTCTGGTAAAATAATCCAAGCAATCCTTACACAGTATTGGTTGTGTAGGTCTCAGCATCTAGCTTTACAGAGGCATTAAATCCCTGCTGATAAATAGATGGTGATTTATCTCTTGAAACAAAAACGGGCGGTTTCCTCTAATCTCAGAACAATAAAATGCTTTTAGATTATATTATTTATGTAACGCTTACTACAAATTTGCATAAGGAAACAGGGCCTGCTGTGCATGGTAAGTCGATTCTCCATCCGGTTACAGTGCCCTACAGGAAAGAGACTATTTATATTTACTAGACTTTTTTTTTTTTTTTTATATAGCTATATTGAGTACCGGTACATTTAACATACTTCTGAACTCTAGTAAAAATGTTCACCTAGTGATGCCTCATCTAACCCCCTTTTGACTTTCTCCTTTTAAAGAATCCTTTAACTTGAAATAATGTGGATAGATGATAAATTTTATGTAACTCTTTTTACTTCCTGAAACTGATCCATGCCCGCTCCCCCCCCCCCCACTTACTCTGCGTGGGCTGGGTCCGCAACACATGGTGTTATTGAACGACCGCGGTATGTGCGCCAGTGCATGCAGATACACATACACTTAAAGGACCACTACAGACACCCAGATCACATCAGCTCAATGATGTGGTCTGGGTGTCAGGTCCCTCTAGTTGTAACCCTGCAGCTGAAAACATAGCAGGTTCAGAGCGTCCAGAGGAAAGCATTGAGAAATGCTTTCCTATGGACACTTTGAATGCGCGCACACATGGCACTTGCGCATTAGCTCCAGTGACGTCAGACCGAGGAGCTGACGTCGGACGGGGAGGAGAGGTCACCAGCGCCAAGGAAATCCGGCGCTGGATTAAGGTAAGTGGCTGAAGGGCTTTTAACCCCTTCAGCGTCAAGGGAAGGAGACCCTGAGGGTGGGGGCACTATAGTGTCAGGAAAACTGCTTTGTTTTCCTGACACTATAGTGATCCTTTAAGTAACATCTGATTAAAAAGGAAACCTTTTTTTCTTGCAGGCTGTGTCAATCACAGCCAGGGGAGTTGTGGCTAGGGATACAGAAACAAAAGTGATTTAACTCCTAAATGGCATAGGATTAAGCAGTAATACGTCAGAGGCATGATCTATACACCAAAACTACTTCATTAAAATAAAGTTTTTTTTGGTGACTATAGTGTCCCTTTAAAGATGAATGTTCCAACATAATAGGTATTATCATTATAGGATGCCTTTTCAGTAGTCTTTTCTGCATTGTCTCCATGTTCTTTAGATTACTATAAGGCCATATATTATGAAAGCTGGAAGGCAAATGATGTGAAAATGTGACTAAAGAAGCATTGTTTGTATTTACATCCACCTGTACCTTTTACACTTTCAGTTCTGCTATCAATCTGCTCTCTTCTCTGTGACCCAAACCCAGATGACCCTCTGGTGCCAGAGATTGCCCACACGTATAAAGCAGACCGGGAAAAGTAAGTGAGATTTAAGAGAGAATACAGCATACACAAATTTATCCACTCCATGGCTTCCCAGTGCTGTGAGGCTCCAGCTCTTGTATTGATACAAGCTTTTATTCTAGTACAATTGTTTCAATAGTTCTTTTGCATAGTTCCAATCTAAATTGTAAATCTGCTTGACAAGACGGAATGTGATTTCTGGGATACTTCTGCTTTATTATTTACGCGTAAGTCTGTAATACACTTTAGCATGGTTCTCTGCTCATCAGTCATTTATACTTCACATGTAGCAACTATATGTTACACAATACATTCAATGTGTTTGCGTGTGAATGATAACACGTTGGGTGGGAAAAATAGAATTTTGTCCAGCTGTACAAAATGCAAGGATTTTGTCCAGCTGTACAAAATCCTTGCATAGTTGTCCAAGAAAAAAAAGGTAAGGGTGTGAGAATGTCTGCCAAGTCCTAAAGGGAAACTTTCTCCAGTTACTGTTGATGAAGATCTACTTTTTAGTTTGCTTATTAGTGCATTATACAATCCAATTCATAAAGCAATGGAGACACATTTCTACTCCAAGGTTTCTTATAAATATGGGTGTGGTTGTTTAAACCCTATGGATTCATGTTTTTAAATAAGTAATAAAAAATATCACTTCAGGACCAAATTAGTTTAAAGGAACACTATAGGGTCAGGAACACAAGCATGTATTCCTGACCTTATAGTGTTTAATCCACCATTTAGTTGGCTTAACCGTAACTAGAAAAGGTGAAAACTCACCATATTTCCAGCACCGCGCAGGACTTCTGACACGGGCCCCACCCCAGATCCACCTCCTTGGTGACCTCATCAAAATTGCCAATTTTTAGCCAATCCAATGCTTTCCCATAGGAGGGTAAAACGCCATTTTAGCCAATTAGCACCTCCTCATAGAGATGCATTGAATCAATGCATCTCTATGAGGAAAATTCGGTGTCCCCGTTCATCGCGTAGAATCGCTGAACGGCAGTGCTGCCTACTGTGCAACACTGCCCCAGGAAGCACAGTCAGTGGCCATCTGAGGATTGGCCACTTGGAGGTGTCCCTAAGGGGCAATGTTTGCATTAAAATGCCTTAAGGCAATGGTTACTCACCAGAACAACTACAGATGGTCCTCGTTTTGCAACCTACCTGTTTTACGATGGCTCGCACTTACGACCAGATCTCCGTCGTGGGAATTGGAAGGATTCCCTGCCCTGTTGAGTTCGTCTGTGTTCGGGGATATTTCCCCCGAACATAAAAGAACGCAGCAGAGAAGGGAATCCCTTAACTCCTCACTTACCGACCAATTCGTTCTACGATTAGGTCGTAGGAAAGGAACCCCGTCGGTAAGTAAGGAGTATCTGTACATTAAGCTATAGTTGTTCTGGTGACTATAGTGTCCCTTTAAGAGCTGTTTTTAAGTATCAGTTAAGCTATAATCATACTAAGCATGATAGGAGTTGTAGTGCAGCAGGGGCAGGCAACTTGCCTAGGACATAAATACCCACCAGAGTGTTTTTTTTTTGTGTGGTTTTTTTGGTTTGTTTTTTTTCCTCTCTGACATCTGCACCAAGTAAAGATAGAGCTCAAAAACCAAAACAGTTTTATTAGGGTTGTGGCAATTTAAAAAAACAAAAACAAAACAAAATCTGCTTTTCCAAAAAATAAAGCAGTATCCCAAACTACTGTCCGTTTTAACAATATGTTTGTCCTGACACAAAAAAATTTCAGATTGGGGTACCTGTCTACACTCAGACTGGGTTATTCACTAAACTCTGAATTTACACAAAGTCAATCCAAATGGAAAAACTGAAACAAAAAAAAAAAGCCATTCTGGAAACAAAGCAAGAGTCACAAACATTCAAGTTTCATTTGTAAATATTTGTATATTTGTAAATTTATAGGATAGCCCTGTGTGTGCAAGCAGTCTGTGTGTAATGTGTGCGGTGTGTTTTGGCTGTGTGTGTGTGTGCAATGTTTGCTGACTGTGTGTAATGTGTGCTGTGTCTTTCCCCTTCCTGATTAGCTTTCTGCAGGGAGGGGGACTGTGGCATCTGGTGGCATTTAGGGGTTACAGTCCCTAATGGTTTACTAGTTTGAAGTCCCCGGTGATCCTGTGTGAGAGTGTGCGGTCTGCACACCACAGTAATAGATTTTTAGCTGTCTGGTGTATACTGGAAATCCAGACTGCTGCACTATGACTTATTAGTGTGTGCTGGACCGCACTACTGTGATTATTGTGGACTGCATCTCCAGCTCCCTGGCACTAAACCTCCCTGCCTCAGGGCAAATAACTGCCACCCGGATTTATACGTTCTGGGTGTTGGCTGATCAGAATCTCACACCCCCGTTTGTTTTTCTTTTTACAAAGCTGAGCGTTAAATTACTTGAGAGTGATGTAGCAGGAGCTTTGATACAGTTTGGGTTATTCAGTTAAGACTCGATTATGTCCAGATGAGGGCTCTAAATAATTAAACAATTTAAATGTCCAGTCCCTCTAACCTCAAATAATGGTATGTTCCCCATTAAAATGAATTAACCCTACGTACTCTACTGCTCCCTAATAGTGAGGGCGGTTTTTGTTTTCTTGTATTTGTTTTATTGCCTTTCCTTTACTATTATTATGGTGACACGGGTAGATAGAGTTCTATTTTTATTTTTTTATTAGGTTGTTCCCTGAATATTATAATTATGGGAGGACATTGTGGTTAGGGCCAGGGGAAGAACATTAAGTCCTACATCTTTAATATTCTTATTAGAGTGGTCCCTACCTGCTGTTCATTGATGGGGGGGGGCGATGGGATGACATTAGGTCCCACCCCCTTTAATATTATAATTAGGGCCCCAGGCCACCGTCAATGTGTGGGACTGTGTTATGGACATTTGGTTACTCCCCCTTATATTATAAGCGCCCCCACATATGGTTTTTCATCTGTACATCCCTCATTATTTATTATAATTTTCCCATACCATGATGCTCAAGTTAACATGGGGCCTTTCTACCGAATGGGCCGCAATTACTGCCAAGTGTCTAATTTTAAGAATTTAGCAAATATGTCCACACCTGTCACATGGCAGGTGGGTGCATAGGGAGGTTTTAAACCCCCTTAAAATAATATGGGGGACTTCTTGACCCACATATACTTTTAATTCATTTTTTTATTTATAAACCGTTGCACAGCTGAGTGTTTAACTATTTGCCAACTGGTTGGGCCTGGATTTGAAGCTTTCGGTCTGGATTTCAGTCATCTGAACCAGATTTGGGTGCCCAAATCGCAAATACCAGACAATGTTGAATACATGAAAAATTTCTAGATTTTGAAGTACCCCTCATGAAAGTATTTTTTTTTTATTAATTTAAATTCCAAATGAAACATAAACACTCATATTTCAGTTAATCATATGTTGGAGAACAAGCATGATTAAAGGTAGAGTGTAGTCACTACAAACAAACAAAAATTAAAATAACCTATTGCAGCATATGTGTGGGCATTTATACATTGAAAAAGAACAGGCGTCTGAAACGTCTTTTTAAATGTGGGTTTCATACGTGTGCCCTTTCTACTAAGTTGCGCATTGTGTTGCATCTAGTTTACTTGCCTGATTAAAGGTAGTAAAGAATATTTGTAAAATAAATGACAATGTGAATATTGTGTATGTAAGAGGAGCGTATGAAGTATAAAAGTCACAAAATGAAAATATACTACCGACATAATAGTTACACACAGAGGACACATACACCTAAACATACACATTTACACATAGGAAACTGACACACACACACTTTTACACAGAGAGGAAACAAACACTTTTACACACATTTGGAAACACTGATACACTCTCATTAATTTGCCACATACTGACAGACACATAAACACTAACTGACACACGCACACACACAGTTACAGACAGAGGACACTGACACACATAGATTCATTGACAGGCACACAAACTGATTTTACACACTGACACCCACTCACTAATTTAACACACTGATGGACATATATTCTCTCAAACACAGTCACAAATTATTTTCTATTTAAATTCATCCAGTCTCTCTACCTTTGGAAGAGCGGGAGTGGATCCTTTCCCTGGGGTCCAGTGTGGGGCTTGTGTAATCTTCATGCTCTTTCAGAAGTGCTCTCTCGTGCACAGTTTAGTGATGCTGGGGCTGAAGTAACATCGGAACCTGCATCACCGCAGGGCGTGCGAGGGAGCAGTTCTGGAAGTTAATGAAGATTACAGCTCCCTCTCTGCCTCCATTCTCCCTCTCCACACTGTATTTGGGCAGAGTAGGAACCTGCCTACTCTATCTTGGCGCACAGCCGACGCCAAGGTGACTAGCCAGTCAGCTCTTCACAAGAATCTAGACTAGGGCATGCTGTATGTTGTCACCAGAAGGAAAAGTTGCACAAAACTGGTGTTATTAGCCAGGAAGATGTTATAAGGAAGACAAATTTAAACGCTGTCGATAAGACTATTTTAACAGACTATTAGTGCGATGACAACGTGTCACATTGTGTCCAGCTCTGAGTGGGATTACATTAATTACTCTGGATTAACAAGGATGTCACATGGCCATTGTACTGAGGGACATAAAAACGCACCCTTAAGGACCACACTGAGTAATCCATGTATTATTTAGTCCACATTGACCAATACATCCATTTAATAAGAATTTTGAAAGATATAAATGCCCATGTGCCATTCCAATTGATAGGCCCTATTTGCCTTGATTTACACAAATACAGCACCCCTCTTAAACTGAATATTTCTGGAATGTAAGTCATTGCTTATATTTACTTATTTTAAATAGATTTTTGTATTATTATCCCTAAGCCATGTTATTAACTAAAATAATATATTGGATGGAACACTGAATTACAAAATGTAGCGTAATATGACCATGCTCTGAATAAACCCTAAGGTAATGCTACATTTACTCAAAATGGTGTCTTTCTCCTAGAGGGCTAGAGTCTCTCCTAAAAGAGATTGTTTGTGGTGCCAGTATGGCCATTATGAATTTCACTGCATTGCTTATACAGAGCCAATCCTGATATTCACCTTCCCACTCTAATGATGTTATAGTACTTATTATTTGCTTAACATAATTCAGTTGTAATTCTTTCTCTGTTCTGTTTTTATTGTTTTTCTTTTTTCTTTTCTCTGCAGGTATAACAGACTAGCACGAGAATGGACACAGAAATATGCAATGTAATGCTCTCTAAATAGCACAGCCAGACTGATGAACTGGAGAGGATTGTGAGCCCGCTACAGAGGCCAGAACCTCCCACTTCTCTTGTTTATCTTTTCGTGCCAATATGCCCGCAAAGTTTTTATACAACACCGACCAATCAAACATAGGCCACAAACTCTATGGATGTTACCGGCACACACACAACCCCCCCCTTTTTGCCTGGCTGAGGAAGACACCCCACCTGTTTGAAATCTGCTGCTGTGATGAGACCCTCCTGCCCAGTGTGAATCCTATGTGCAGGGCCCCTCTCCTGCTTTGCACTGAAACTTCCAGTCCCTGGGATCTGCTTTCACAAAGCTCATATTACCTTCCCCTCGCCTTTAAATAACTCAGGACACAGATGTTGGTTTGGGGAGAGTCACGAGCCTTGCTACTGTCCCTATACCAGAATGGTATGGTTTGTAACTGTTGCTGGAATGAGTGGAGCATGCAACATATTTGGAGGAAGGTGAAGGGCAAACCTATGTCTTACAGCAATTGAGTAATCCATATGGAGTCCTTTTCAGTCTCCATCTGTTACCCGCACATCTATTCTCCTTCTTTATTCTCAGAAGTGTGCCTGCTGTTGGTACAGTAAATGAGGCAAAGAAGAACCTGTGTGCAAAACAAAACAAAAAAATAGTTTTATTATTTATAATGGCTGAAACCCATGAATGCCTGACTCATATTTTGATGTATTTAATTTATGATCACTGAGGGGTGGAGCTGTCCCACATAACTGTTCTTTGAATGGCATATAAAAATCTTGTACCCAACCTTTTAACAATTATTGGTGCTCTGTTTGGGCATCAACAATCTGGTGGTACTGTGTGCTCCTTGGAATCTCCTCAAGCACTTAACTGCGTTATTTTGTTCACTGTATTAGATTGTGCATTTGGCATCTCCCCCATGCCACTTATTACAGCACTAACTATATAGTTGTATGTTTAGGGTACACGTAGCTGCAGTATTCGAATATCCCACAGCTTGTGTACCTGATACGGTCCTCTCTCCCACAATCTTTTCCATCTATAATGGAATGGGAGTTTGTAGCCCATGCTAGCTGATCCACAATGTAGCATTCAACAATTGTCAGTAATGGTTTTTATGGGTCAGCTCTGTGACTTTTCTTGTCTTAGCCTACCTCACGCTTTGAATTCTGGGACAACATGTCGTGAGCTCTTTTCCCGACTAGTGAGAGGGCTCTGCAATGCTTGGTAATCGACAGCAAGATACTCTTGTCTTCTTGCAACAGCGTTAAAAGATCTGACCAAACTGCATAGTGGTAATAAACACCTGTGAAAATGAAAAGTGTTTCACTGCATAATAGCGACGATTATTCCTATACATTGTCTTTTAATACTTACTATCTCCACACTGAAAGACACTGCTACCACCACAACCATTTCAGTATTATGGTTATGGTGGCGGGAGTGCCTTGGCCTCATCCAGTGTAAGTAGTCAGTTTGCTGCTTGACAACTTACTAAGGTCTGCCAAGCGCCAGTTACTTCCTACACTGAGAGCCACAAGCTCCTTCTAGGATCAGAATAGCTTTTTTGAGATAAACCCTGCTGTGCACGACCAACTAACTGGTGAGAGCATCAGCTGATTTTTCTCTGGCTATGATCTAAACCCGGTTCATTGCTGGACTTGGCTCATTAAAGAGAGCTTTTAGTTGAGTAGGTCTCTGGCGCCCGGCAGACACCAGATAAGCCATCAAACCATTAGCAAATGGTTTTACTATTTATATTGGGAGGAACTTGAGCGCACTCCTGACACCATAACCACTCCAACACACCGTAGTGGTAATGGTGCTTGAAGTGTTCCTTTAAGAGGAGAAGCTCTACCATGGTCTTGAATATACTGCAATATATAATGAGGCAGAGTATAGCATACTATATGGAGGATAATAAACCTGTTTTGTTTTAGTGTAACCATTTACAAAGTATTACATCTAAAGCAAATTACATTAAAATCTCTTTTCTGTAAATGTTAACCTTAAAGAGAGACTTTAGTGTCTTGTCACATGGCCATTTTCCTGCCCCAAGTAGGCTCTGCTAAAACTGTATCTGCATGATCACACTCTGCATCAGTGTACATAACAGCAAAAGCCCAACCATTTAATATAAAATATCTTGTCAACATGCCAGTATAATTCTCCTAAAAAAAATTTAATTACTGTGATCTCTGTTTAGCTTCTAACTATTGCTTTCATGAGAGTAACACACTGGCTTGCTGAAATGCACTAATATTTAATGTCCTTATTATAACTCTTGACACCTTGATACTGAGCTCTCTGCCTGCTGTGCAAAGTCAGGACAGTATATAAATTATGGCGGTATAAGTAGATCTATGAGGCCTTGTTAATCTAACAAGTCTTTTACATTCCCAAATTGGCATTTAAAGCATTTACTGTAACTTTTTCTCAGCATTAATGAAGAATGAATGTAAAACTTTTTTTAGTTTACATTTTTTTAGAAGAGCCCTGAGATATCTCAGCCATATTTTTTATTTTTGTGTGTAACTTTTTTTTTTTAAATGCTTACATATAAGAAAAAGGGATGGAGTGAAAGACCACCTTGGAATGTCCCTTTATTTTCTGGATATTCCTCAATTGCTTTTGGACAGTTCTGTTTGGGCAGTTAAACATTCTACTTCATGAGTGAGCATACTGTCACGACAACAGCCAATATAAAGTTGTGGCATAGTGCGTAAGTCCATTAATAGCTGGCAGTATTCACATGCTCAAAGCAAGCTTGTATTACATTCAGAGGCTTGCTTGAATTAGAAACTCTAGGAAATCGTGATTGGCAGCTACGTTTTTATCATGAAAGTCTGAAACCTCTTTACCTTGAACAAAAATTTTTTTTATTCTTTGTGCCAGTGGAATGTTGCAGTGAATACTTGACTTCTCAGTTTGGGAATATATATTGCTATATATGTATGAGCATTCTATCCCATCACCCTCATTTCTCTAGTAAATAGTCATCTTTCTGTTTCTGCTTTTGGGTGATTGAAATAGTGTATCTCTTTAGATGTTGGAGTAAAACATATTTGCTGCTTAATCTAACCAAGAGGACTGCAGCTTGCTCTAAACCAGTGTTTAACTACTGTGTCTGCATCCAAAACTGGGTCAATGTGTCATTTTCTGAGGTCCCGGTATCTACAACAGGTTCATCATATTCATAAGGCCATAGCTAGCTGCCAGTCACTGTCTTAATTAGTGGAACAAGCACCTCCTTAATACCAAGAATCTAATGAAGGTGTTTCTCATAATTTGTTTTAACATATATTACATTATAGTTAAAGCAATCACAATTGGATGTATTTTCCAATTGTAGAATGGATCACTAGGCTCATGTCACAAACTTTATTTAGGTAAACAATTTTAAGACCTGATGCTCTAAAGTCTGTATAGTGTTCACTGTTTCGTCAGCGTATAATAGCCAACTGCTCCATCCACCTGTGGCTGAGAATTATTAGTTTGTAATCCACCCACACAAAGAGGTTTTAGTTGTGGTTAATCTAATAAACCTACTTGTGGCATGTGTTGTTAGCCCACATTTAATCTTCCCTACTGTAGAAAAGGTCACTAACTGCACAAAAACACAGTCATTATTGGTTGAGTTTAAAGGGCTTGCAACTGTTAACCCCGTAATCTTAAAGAGTTAGCCCTGAAGTTAGTTAAGTTTGTATCATTAGAAATGCCGATATAACATATTCCCCTCCATTTTCACTGTCATACAGGGTTAATCACTAAAGTGAGAATTCAAAGTGAGTTTCAAATGTAACTAGCCAAACTGGAAGGATTCTCTAGCTTAGCGATGCTTTCACTTCGGCTACTCTGTCCTCACCTTAAATTCTCACTTTTGTGAATAACCCACAACAAGTATTGTGTAGCTTCCTCCTCCTGTCATTGCTTCTCAGGGAACATTTGAACTATTTCCAAGTTATTGACAGTCATATTAGCAATCTGGTATTTAAATCTTTTATGGGGACTTGGCAGAATATCACCCTATACCAAATTTTAGTGTTGCAAGTGCCAGAAATATTGTGCCACGGAAATGTATAGTTTCTATAAACTAGGTGAACATTTTGGTATTAAGAAATATATATATTCAACTTGTTTTCTATATGATAAAATTCACAGGCTTCTGACTACTCCCTCTCTCCGCTATCATTACAGTTTCTCATTTCATATTAATACAGGCCTGGGCTATGGGACATGCCGTTTGTTGGTCAAGAAATATGTGAGTTTTTAACCTCCACAGCTAAAGCGCCACAGGTTGTCCAGCCCTGTTAGTATTACAATTACAGATCCCAAATCCTCTTATATATCCTTGCATGTCTGTTGTTTTATTTATTTTCTTTTGTACGCATAAGGAATGATTTCATATCGTGTGCAGTGTGTGTGTGTGTGTGATTATATCCTAATTTATTTTCTGGACCCCTTCCAGACTTCTAGGGGCCACAACACCGAAAGGGTTTATAGCACCTCCGCTTTTGTCATTCACTTATTTAAGGTTTGTTTCCTGCTAAATTGTGAATCTTCTAAATTGGTGCTGACCTTAAAAAGAAAAGAAAAAAAAAACATTTTTAAAATTCTTGTGTCCTACTGTCTGTTTATTTTAATTTTGTGACTGTTTTATATGTCATTGATAGATCTGTAGTCTTTGTTTACCATGTATCAAAACGTTCATTTAAATATATGGCAAATTAAAGTAAAAACACATAACTGGATTTTTTTTTAATTACATTTTTTTATTTCGTGCTGTGTGTGCATGTACATACGTATCATACACATGCACACACTAATGTAAAATTAACTGCCACACTTCTCTGTTATTTTTTTTTTATTTAGAAGAGGAAAGAGCATAATAATGGTTTTGAGTGATGTCCGTGCGTGTTGCTTTGTGATGGGTAAAAAGAGTGAAGGAGCAAACCTATGTAAAGGGATAAGTATTATTGCCTCAATGGGCTG